GTTGCGCATATTGCAACGAAAAAGTTTCGTAACGTTATTTTCACATTTCCTGCAGATTGTAACGGGCAACGAGGAGCAGCCAGATAGTGTCGCTGCTGCTTTTGCTTTTCTGCTGCTGCTGCTGCTGCTGCTACTGCTGCCAAAATGCTCAACAAAACATGTCGAAAATGTGCCACATGCCAGCGGCAGCAGGGACAATGCTCCTGTTGCTCCTCTGCATGCAACAGTTATGTACACAGCCACATACAAACTGAAGTAGATAGGGACAATAACACAGACACCGACGTTGCCGGCAGCCAAATAGTTTCATACAAATACAAATGCACAGACAACACATTTCGACATGGCACATTTAGCATCCTTGAGCGGCATTTAACTTCATTTCACCCACAGAGACACGGATGCCGGGTCCGGGCCACTTTGTTGTTCTTGTTGCTCCTCTTGTTTCATTATTTGATTTAAAAACAGCTCCTGGGGCCTCTGGGTGCTCTTCTCTCTCCACTACCCGTTTATGCAATCAATGTCAACGGCAAACTTTGCCAAGTTCTGTGTGCTGGCAGGAAATTAAGTTTTTGGCACTTTCGGGCCTCGACTTAAATGCCACAGCAGCAGCAGCACTTCATTGGGGTCAAGTGCAATCTACTGCCCATATGGATAATAAATCAGCCAATGGGCAATGGCCAGCACCAAGCCAAGCCAAGAGCAAGTCCAATGGCAAGACCCGGGTGAGCCGCCTCTAAACTTGTCTTTCCTCGCTTTTTTTGTTGTTTTTTTTTTCTTGGCCATGCCGTTTTTGTAGGTGAGCTGGGCCATGAACGAGGGGCAGGCTCGACCTTACTAACCAGGCTCAATGGAGTGGAGAGCTGTGGAGTGGAGTCGTGGGGCTCTGGGCCGCAGATCGCAGATCAACGTTAGAAATGGAAATGCGCTTGACTGCATACAATGGCTGCAACTGCAACGGCAACTACTGCAGCAAACAGCAACCAGCGAATGTGTGTTACTGTAACTCGCAGCCAGCAGCCTGTTAGCCAGTTAGTTGGCCAGTTAACTAGCCAACAACTTGACTTTGGTTTCGTTTTCGATCTTCCTGTCATTGTGCTGCCATCCAGCCGTGGCGCGTGCTCATCTTGCCTTAGTTAGTTGATGTTGCTGCCTGCACTTGTTGCACACCCCCCAGCAACATGCAACTTGGCTACCTGCAACAGATGAGAGTTGTCGCTGGCTGCTGGCTAATGATTATGATCTCTAATCAGCAGATGTTGGCTCCAGGGTCAGCGGATATTTTGAAGGCAGATAAGCAAGATTTACTGCAGCTTTAGCAAATATTGCTCATACGACCAGAGGTCTTAAAAATTATTCATTGTTATTATTAGAAAATTAAGCAAAAAAAAATTATAATTTAACATGTATTATTAATATATTTAGAATTAAAAAATGGATATATATAGAGTGCCTTTCCAAACAGGAAAGAATGCACTCTCCCTCTTCTTAAATACCCAATTCATTTTTAAAGCTTCCACTTAAGGCGCACCAAGCTTCCTCATGTTTTTTGCACACCGCTTAACATATTATTCCCATTCAAATTAATCGGAATTAACATATTTGCACAATTTAAAGCACTTTAATTAGCACATTTTACTATGCGAAGGTCGATCACAACATCTCAATAAAAAGATCATGCAATCGGCCACCAGGGAAATCCATAAACAAATTTTCTAGAAAGTAAATCTGTAGACAAACAGCACATAATTAATAAAAATTATGAGAACACTTTGGGGGCGATGAAAAAAGCTAGCGAATTGTAAGCGATTATTTCCGCCTTTTTCCGGACGGCCACAAAAACGATAAATTAGCAATAGATTCATCGATTGGATATGAATATGAATGGCGAAAAGAGCGTTATAAATTGCTATGCAAATTGAGTATTTAGATTAACAAAAGCGAAGGCTTTCAGGCATGCAAAGCATCCCCAGCAATTGGAACAATGAAAAAAATATCGTACTGCAAAACGATTTCAAGGCCTTAACATTGGCTGAAATTTGGCTCAAGCCATGGGGCAAATTGAACACTGAACACTTCAACTTTGAGCTAATGAATTTCGAATGCAGTCGGTCCAAACTGGTTAGCCGAAATGCACTTTGTGCCCAGATCACATCCAATCCAATCCCAGCCGAACCGTACTGAACCAAAACCAAAACCAATCCAATTGATATTAACTCGTTTTGTTCTAGGCAACATTTTGTGATCTGTCGTGGCTCAGAACCTTTGGCCAGCCAATCAATTGCTGCCATTTTTTGTGATTTCGTATTCTATATATTCCACGGCAATACATATTATATGGGGGTACGAGTTTCTAGCTTCTAGCAGGGCGGCCTTGATATTTTGTTTTATTTATGAAATCAAATGCAGGCGAGCGAGATACGAATACCGACAGCCACCAGATACTTGTGGCATTTATTATAAAAAGCTTTCGAGTGAATGAATTCCCCGCAGCTTTTTGTATCTGTAACACGTATATATAGCTATATAGTTATAGAGTCTCCCCACCCCCGGCTGTCTTGGGCCTGTCTCCGATTCTCAGTCCGATGCGAAAGGCAGGAAGCCGCAGAGCTCAAAATAAGCATTGACTTTGCATATTTGTGTGTGACAGCCCAGCTGTATCAACGGATATGCTAGGGAATGTTTGGCATTTCCTTCGAGGAAAACTTGATTTGGTTTTAATTAGAAAATTACTTAAAATAATACCAAAAAGAAGGCGTTGGGCTGGCCCTAAGAATCGCTCAATCTACCATCTCGCTTGCTCGGTTCGTGCACGAAAAGAAAAGCACTTGCAATATCAGCGATTATTCATAGTTTCCTTTTGTAGATTACTCGTATACATTGTAATTAAATGTAAAATATTTTTTATAGAAATTATTAATTTAATAATAATAAAGATTTGGAATGTTGTTTTGATATATTTATTAGTTTCATAAATCTTTTACAATTCTCAAAAAAATTATTAGAAAAAAAGCAATTGTACCACAGCAATGAAATTGGTATAAAACTTATTTAAAAATCTATGTGGTAAATAAATATTTTTTAATTTATGTGATAAGGAAAAGAAAATGGGTATGAATATAATTTTTTTGAGGTTTAAAATATTTCTTATTATTTAATGTGTTAAATATGATTCTGTTCCGAATCGATGACCATTTTTGATGGTATTTTTTCCATGTGCTACTCCTCCCTGGCAAATTGCTGGCAGCCTCTTTTGCCGGTTTTCGAGGCTTCTGTTCATCTGCTTTGGCTGCTGGTTGTTCTTCTTGGTAGGCCGGCAACGTCCATCATAATCAACGTCCATCATCAGTTGGCTGCTGTTCAGCCGCGTGCTCCGTTGACACGCCCACAAAGCTACTGCTCGGCACGCCAACCTGCTGTTGTTGGGTTGTTGGGAGTTTGGTTGTTGGCCGGTTGTTGGGTTGCCGGGTTGTTGGGCCTAACTTTGGCTTTGACTTTGGCTCTGGCAGTGGCAGTGGCCGCCTTTGGCCATGGCAGCTGGAGTAATTTTTCATCAGCGTAAACATCTTGAAAACGCTCTTTGGGCTACCAGTTTTACTAGGCCTCGCAGATCGCAAATGGCAGCTGCTTCTGGCCGGTCATGTAAGCCAACATCAGCATATCTGCTATCTGATATTAGAATCTCAATTACTTTTTCCAGCTCTTCGGCTGCTATTGTAATTTCCTTCGCAAGGGGCTGGAAAACCGAGCCGGTTTTTTCGGTTTTCGGTAGGCAAATATCCGTTGATGTAAACATGAAAATTTAGTGGCTGTCATAGAGATAGCACAGGCCAAAGGAGAATAGGAAAAACCCAGCGACGCATCGGGGAGAACTCAAATTGCCTCCTATCAGATTTAATCATTTATCAGCCAACAGGCAATTACAGGTTGGAAATTTTCATTCATAGCCCCCCGAAAACAGAGGAAAAGCCCCTTCGATTTGCCTGAAATTACCCGAAATAGGAATGCAGTCCATAAAAGTTCCGATGCATCTCATTAGATGCAGGCGGGCAGATATCAAGTGGGACTCATTGAGTTAGCCAAACTCATAGCAAAATCCCAAACACGTTTCGCGATTTACGACTTTTTAATAATGAAACAAAACTAATTTAATGCAAAGCGACAACAACGACAACGGCATTTGAATAAATTAATGTAATAGACAGCTTAAACAGCAAGAAATATGGCTGTCTACATGTTTAATTGTGCAGTGAGTTTCAGAACACTAATGCGGCTCATATTGGAAAAGGCTAACCCAATTAGTTCAAAATCTATATAAATATCACTAATATCTTATTAGTTTTTAAGAAAATATTTTCGTATTTTGGCTTGCAAAAAAAATGTCTATTAAGTTTTATAATCTAAGTAAATTACTGTAATAAAGTTCTAGGGCATACATTTTCTAAAGTTATATTAATTTATTAAAGAACACCAAATAAATATTTTCACTGGTTTAGAACCCACTGTACTTGTAACTAGGAAATATCAAAAACTGGTAGCTGCCCGAATAGTAAAAGCCCCACCAATACTCTTAAATGGAAACCACAAAATACAACAACATCGGCAACTAGAACTGCATCAAAAGTGAAAACAACAACGACAAAAACAACAACCACAGACTGGTGGTTTAGCAAGAATGCAACAACAAAATCAAGAAAAAATAAATAAATTTTCAGCATATGAAATAATAAGACGAAAACAACAAAAACAAAAACAAATCTAAAGTGCAACAGGTTTTGTGTGTTTTCGCGATAACCTTGAAACAAAACTCGTTTAATCATTTCGTAGCGTTCGAAAATGCGGCAACAACAACAGTAAATGAAATTTTATATGGCGCATTATAGATTTAATAAATTAACACTCATTTCCATTGGGGAAATTTTTCGATTTCGTTTTTTTTTCGTGTTTGTCGTTTCCAGCTAATTGTGTTGGCTATTCGCTTTTGTTCATTGCAGGTACAGTTGCGATTTTAAAATATCGCCGAGATCTCCCCCGAAAAAAGAAAACTATGGCCGATTGTTCGTTTGCCAGATGTCTGCAAGAGCGTCGGCTCATCAAACGGGAGCTATTGAAATGGACCAAGGATATGCTGCACATTGTGGGTGAGTAATTAGAAATTATAAGTAAAATTTTTTTTTAATTTTAATACTTGATATAAAATAAATCCTAGTTTGAAAATAAATCCCAATTTATTTTTGAACACGATAAATAGGCTTTATAGAACTTCATTCACTAAAAATATATGTGAAATTTTACTTTTAAAATATCATTAAAAATTCGATATTCCATTTATAAACCCCATCTCTTCTTATATAGGGTTAAAGTTTACCTATCCACCGCTCGTTCAATCCAATTAAAATCCGTTGAAAGCTGAAGGCGTTAAAAAAAATCACCCAAAGCCAATAAGCAGAATAATTTTTGTGCTAGGTGGCTTAAGTATCGCTTCACCCCCGGATATTTCATACTATCTATGTACAGAGCGCTTTCAAACTTCAGATTTTTTTTCGCTTTTACGCCAAACCCTTAGTTGGCCTCATCGTTCATATTAAGGCCGCAAATGGGATTTGGCCCGTGTAAATGGCAAATGAAGTGCCTGCAAGTTGTTCGCCTGAAAATGACTTTAGCCAGACCTAATCAACATCGACTGGGCTTAAGTCCTTTGCCATATGGTTGAGTAAAAAAAAACAAACACAGTGGAGTCTGGCCAAACACAGAGGAAAAATTAACATAAATTGCAAAGGCTTTCATTTTTTTTTTGGTGTGGCTGGTGTCACCCTTGGATATATATTTCTTTCTTGCCTTATCCTTTTGCCTGAAAACACTCATTTCGGTTTTTGAGCACGTTTAGCACGTTGCCAGCGATCCAGGCCCAAACCCAAGCCCAAACCCAAACCCCCATTAAAATGTTAAATGCCCTTTGTTGTTGTTGGGCCAGTGGGAGGCTATATATGCATACATATAAATGCCGCTCTCCATGTACAAATATATATATATGGAAGTGTAAGTGTGTTTTTTTTCTCGCCAGCCAACACACAAACACATCGTCCTTGCCTTGCGTCCCTGTCTCGTGCACTCAATTACTTCCTCAATGCGCTCCATAATGCTTATCGTCCTTGTTTCTAGTTGACATTCCCGCACAAACACAGAGACAGCAGCACCGCTTCCAGTGGTTTTTCCCCCTTTCCCTAGCGCCCCTGCTAGGAAAACCCTTAGCACATTTTTCCAGCGACAATTTTTGCTCGGCTCTCCGGCGACGACGACTTCGTCGTTGTCCTCGCTGCACGAAGCTGCAGCAAAATGTGAAAGAAGCCAGGACGAAAAAAAAGAGAAAAAAAAACAGAAAAGGATATATATGCACGGGTGTCTGGCGTTTTGGGGGTCTGGGTTTCGGGTTAGTTCTAGCCAACTTGGGCTAAGAGGGCAGGGGGCCCAAAACGAAGTGCTCTGCTGGAGATAACGAAGCGCACTTAAGCACACGCACACTCACACACACACTCGAGCTCACACACACACATGCGCAGGATGGTGGGTGGTTTGGGGGCATATCCCTACGAAATATATTGCACAATATAAAAATTGCAGACGATGAGTGCCGAATGCGTTTGCCGAAAAGGCAGCCAGAACTAAAGAGCTTTGGAGGAGGTGGAAAATGGGGGAAACTAGTACAAGAACAGCAGGGAAATCCACTACAACAATTGGCAGACGAACGAAGCCGAACCGAAGGACGAGCCAACGAGGAGCGAGCGTTTTCCTCGCCTGTTTTTGTGGCCGATTTTCGTCGCCAACGAATTTTCCTGCATTTCTTTTTGGATTTTTTTCCCTAGAATTTTTTCAACACCCCGAAACCCAAACCATTCGAGCCACCCAGAAAAACGATGCTGATCGAAGCTGAAGAGGAAGACAAAGACGTCGTTGGTTGGGTTGGTTTGGGTTTGGGTGGGTCGGTAGTTCGGTGGTTCGGTGGGTGGTTAGTTTTCTGGTGGGTCAGTGGGAGGCAGGGTGTTTGGGGGCCATAGTGTTGATGGGAAATCTCGCCTGTTGCATTTCCCATTTCCCCACCCAACTGTTGTTGGCAATGGCTCAATCAGTGAATCAGTGGTGGAGTTTCATTTGATTGTAATGGGAGCCCATCCACTTGTGGATTCAGGTGTGTGTCCGGAGTCGCTTGGCCAGCCATCTGTATGCCAAACCCAGCGCCGGCATAAAGGAGATTACACTAACCAAATTATATAAGCTGCATAAAGGTAATTTTCGATGGCAGCGGTTATGGGTAAATTTGTCTGGGGACTATGGCTTCAAAATGGTTTTTTGTTAGGTATTCCTATTAAAGAAAATTTCCAAACAAATTTTCATAACCAAATGTCCAGATATAAACATATTTTGGGTTTATCTCTGGATAGTTTTACAAAGCTAAGATTCTTAAAACATTTTTATTTAAGGTATTTACATTTTTTGTGGAGTATATATATTTGGATTTTAGTAAGTAAACCTAAAGTATTTTTAATTTAAATAGATTAATTAGCTTTTTTTAAATTAAAAAAAAATAATTTGAATCCCACCCTAACAACTCCTGTTGGGCTAATAAATATTTTATTACTATTTTTAATTATTTTTGACCATATAGAATTTATTTTATGTTTTTACATAGTTCACATGGAAAAATTTAAAATAATTTTTAAGGCCAACAGATTTTAGTCATAACCAGGTTGGCCATGCTCCTAAATCACACCCTGAAAACTCCTGTAAAAGATTTCCGTGAGATAATGCAATCTACCTGAATATAGCAATAAAGAGCTCAGGCAAATATTTTGCTAAGCTTATATTTCCTAGCGAAAAAGTTATCCAGCAGAAAACAAACCCCAACAGGGATTTAACTTGTTGCATAGTCGTCGTCCTGCCTCCCTCCACTGCCTTGCCCCGAATCCTTTCCATTTAGTTTGTTTGCCTGGAAAACCACCCCTCCTCCTCCTCCGCCCGATAGGGTGTAAACATATTAAAAAGCCAAACTTTTCCTTTGCCTTTATTTACAAAAAAAAAAGAATACAAACTAAAATAAATAGAGGAAAAAATCTCGAATATATAGAAGAGAAAGAGATGCATTATAATGGTGGGAATTGGAATGAGGGGGATGGGTGGCCGAAAGCAACAAGCTGCACATATATACGTATTTTTTATTTGCAGCAAGGAGAAGAGAGAGCGCAGAAAGTTCCGGGTGTATATGTGTGTGTTGGTGTATTAAGAAGCAGCAGGTGTTGGGCAATATTGTGGGCCATTCCCACCCCACACCCCCTCTTGCCGTGTCTCTATGTAGTTGTTGGGTCTTGGCTCTAACCGCCTTTGCCCACCCACTCAACGCCCAACCACCCAACCACCCACATTGCCAAACGCATCTTTCGATAACGCCAACAACAAGGAACAATAAAGGAGAAGGAGAATAGCGTTGCAGGCGCCGCTGTCGGCGTTGACTTTTCCAACCATTTTCCCCCCTTTATCCACCGCCTTTCGGATTTTCCACCCACCGTCTTTGGCTGTAAGAAGGCATTTTTATGCCAGAAGGATGCAACAAGCGACGAGGACAACGTCGCGTCTGCTTGTGTGTGAGTGGGTGGTTCGGAGTGGAGGTGGGTGGCCAGCTTTTCATGGACTACGCAATAAGCACTCCACCTACTTTCCAATGTCGGGCGAACTATTTCCCCACCCCCTCTCCTTTTTTTTTGCGCCCTGCCTTTGCCTTGTTGAATTTTTTCTGGCGGTTTTTAGGTTACATTTTTACGAGTTTTCTCCACTTCCACTTCCACAGCCGCATCCACATCCACATCCTCATCCACTTGTTGTTGTATTTGCGAGGATGACGCTGCAAGCGCCGAAGGAGTCGCCGGGCGCCGCCGTCGTCCTTCGTCCTTGGTCCTTGGTCCTTCGTGTGAGGCAGCCAAATTCGTGATGGTGTGTGTGTTTCTGTGTGTGAGGAAGCGCCACAAGTGGGTGAAACTCGGTGCGAGCGAGAGGGCCAGAATGGCTAGAAAGAGACAGGGAAAGAGAGAGAGAGAGAGGGAGATAGCTCGACCATAGTTTGGTGCATTCGAAGCACTCCCCCATCCCCAATCCGCCACCCCGATTTTAGCCACCCAACTTGGGTTTTCTGGGTGCACAGAAATTGGAAAATAGATTTTTTGGTTGGTTGCCTTTGGCCGGTTTCCTTTCCTGCTCCGCCAGTTTTTTCCTTCTTTTGGGTATTTCTTTTTCCTGAAAGTAGGGTGGTAAGTCCACTGACAAAAAGTAGTAGGTAAGTAGTTGAAAAATACAATAATAATATATGTTAATTATGCCTTTTTATTGTAAACTTATATGAAATAAAAGTACACTCATTTTTTCATTGGAAATTAATGGAATTTTTTTTTTGAAAAATGCAACATTTATTGGAACTATTCCCTATAAAAATGTATAATAGGAAAAATTCTTAGTTGGTTAAAATAAAGAACATTGTTCAAAGAACCTACAAAATGATTATGCGCGGATCCGAAAAACTAAATATTTTTTTTTACAAAAACTTTAAAGTTCTTAAAAATATCTTTGCTTTGTTTGATTGTAGAATATCGGAAGTAAAAGTGACCTATTTTCTTAGAAGTGCTTGATTGTGCAAAGTAACAAAAAAAGTCCCAAAATGAATAGATATTTACCAGATTTGTTCACCGTGTAGATGGGTGTTGATGCTGGTCAACCGGCCGGTTCTCGCCAGGAAGTCAGGAAGCTTGAGGTGGACTTTGGGTCTTTCAATGGGAGGGGGTTTGATTGAGAATTTGCCTTCGGTTCAAGGTATGTCCAGGACAATGCCCCTCCCCCCGCAGGACCACCGCCCCTGCCCTACGTTTTGCGGACAAGACGCAGGCTAGCATTTTTTCCCGCTGCATTTTTCCTTGCTTTGGTTTCCTTTTTTTTCGTCAGAGAGGAAAAAATGAAGCGGAAGCACGAAAAAGCACAAAGTTAATGCGAAGTGGGAGGGTTTTCAGGGGGGTTTTTGGGGAGCTAGGAGGAGCTAGAGCGCGCCAATATGGCGCTAAGGACATTGGGCAAAATGCACTGCAGGAAAAAATTTCACATTATA